GGGAGAGCAAGTTCAGGGATAAGACCAGGAAGGAGAGGCACTCAACAGCCAGGGAGGCGTTTGGGGAAGTTGGGTAACATGAATCACTCAAAGATAAAATTGTCAGCCGACCTTTAAGACTCAGAATTACTTCCAACGTGGTTTAGAAACAGAAGTTACTAAAAGGAGATGTGTGGGTGTCCCAGCACACCTGGGAGGCCCTAATAAGGCAGGCTGCTGTGAATTCTGCTTGCCTTCCAGTTCTGATGTATTTGAGAGCAGATTACTTACAAAGCTTAACAGGAGCCCTGAACAAAATCCTGACCAGGGATCACATAACTGCAGCAGATACCTAACACACAGACCTAGCGTCTCCACTATCACCCTCTCTTCCAAGAGAGAACATGAGAAGAATTTCCCCGACATATATTATAGAAGACATTTATTAGAATTGTACCATGGGCTCTTGTGAGGCCTGGATGTTAAAATGTTGCAAATACATTTGTACTCATTTCCTATTAAGGATATGAGAGGGGGAAAAAAACCAACGTCGTTCTGATTGGCTAGTACTATAAAATAGTTCCAAATGGCAAAAGTATTGCCCACGTATCAAAGATGACATGTGAACAACTGTCTACTGTAAAGATGTGATTCCTCAGCCTACATTTAAAATTGTCACGGACTTACGTTAAATTGATGTGTACTTCACAAAAGCCTTTAAGGGTTCTCTCTCCAATATAATGCAGACCTGTAATTTAGTAACAGGTGCTGGAGAGAGAGAGCACTTCCCTTTTACTCCAGTAGATACTTAGGTTTCTCTTGCATGATGGATGCTGCATGAGCCAGAGTCTAGAGGCCGGCTGTTTCTAATGACTGCTGTAGTCGATGGCATGATGTGAAATTCTGAGTGTTTAAAACTGGACCACGTCTTGATAGGGAAAACGAATGTTTCTTTAGTTACAGTTTTCAAAGCAACAAAAGATTCTATCTGACCTCTATACCAAAAGGGCAGGAAGATCAAGGAAATTGATCAGAGTACCAGATATTTTAAATAGCGAATACTTTTGGCTAGTTCTCTTACTCATACATCTAAAGAAATGCATTCCATATACAGTAGTTACTGTGCTGTGAAGTACTGAAGACAAACAGTATACATTTCAAAACTGAGCTTGTTTTCCTCATACATATTTATAGCATTTCCACTTAATTAGATGTCGAAGTATTCTGAACAGCAGTAGAGGTATAAAAGAATAGAGAAGGCAAACGAAATGGATTTCAGAAGTGAGGGTGCTACTTAAACCCAAGTTCACAACACTTCTCTTTAATGATCCAATGCCAGACATATATTCTGAACAGCAGCAACTTTCTCCCCTTAAAATCTGCAATCTGACCCAAGTAGGTCAAGATGGAAAAATAATGCATGTATGTATGTGTGTTGGGGGGAGAAGGGTTGGGTATATGCATGGGGACTGGACATGGGGACAGGAGGAAGGGGAGAAAGGACTGGGCAATTCTATTATAAAAACACAATTCTTCAAAAATAGAAAGACTGTATCTTACCATGGCGCATAAGATGCAGCAATGAAGAAATAGATAACCATTCTATCACACATGTGGAAACATTGCTCCACTGTCCTAATGGGAGAGAAAACCAAGTTAGACAGTTCCCAGAAGATATGCAGACCGGAAGTATGGGTTATCACTCCAGTCCAGAAGATCCTAATTTAAAAGGGCTAGAAGCTGGGGGTAGAGGATGGAGGGAAAGAGGGGTTTTTATGTTTTTGTTTTTGTTTTTAACTCCTTGGATGACTATGATTCCTAGCCAGGTTCAGCCTTTCTAATTTTGCTTTCTAGATCAGCGATTTTCAACTAGGGTGCTACCAGAATTTTTAAAACGGGCAACACCTGACTATTGGGGTACTGACCTCTTTTCCCTTAGATTGTCAAATAAAAAAATGACAACAGCCAACACAACAATAGCTGTCTGGTGTGAATGAATCAAAACTATACCTACTTTTTGTCTGACTGGCAAAAAATATGTTCTTTGGTGTGCCACAGAATTTCAGTAATTAGTTTATGTGTGCCGTGAGATGAAAAAAAAAGGTTGAAAATCGCTGCTCTAGATTGTTATGCACCATCACAGCAGGTAAAGTCAGACCTGAAATTTTATTCAAGATCCTCCACCCACCTCTCTGACCCCTCACTCTCCTCGCATGTAAGATAGAAATAATAGCATCTCTATCGAGTCTGCGTGAGCATTAAATGACGTAATATAGCCATATGTTTAGCACAGCACATAGTAGGGACTCAATGAATGATAATTCCCTTCTCTCTTTTACTTAAACTAAGATTACACTTGGATATTTTTTAAAAAATCAAGGCAGAGCAGAAATGCCCACGTGGGTGACAATTCTGGCAGTGCTATTTCGCGGTTCAAGAGAATCTGGTTTCTGTTGCACCTTCCTCTCCAGCCCCTGGCAGGGAGGCCCTGCCTACTGACGTATGGCATCTACAACTCTTTATTGATTTAGAAATCTAGACATCAGAGCCAAGTCAGCTGAGGCAACCACAAGCGTGGGACTTGCCAAGAAGATAATGAAGTGCTCTGGCCTCTGGCTCTGTGACGGTGTGTCCTGAGCAGCCAGCGCAGGTACTGCTGATGCCTCGTGCGAGTGTGTCTACGGCTCCCTTGGGATTCGGTGCTGTGGTTTTATTTTTAAGCCCGGGGAGCTGTCACCTTACAGGCAAGGTAGCAGACTGCCTCCTGCCAGCAATATTGTGAAGGATGGGGTGAAAAGCACCTTGGGTCTAGGAGTCAGAAGCCCTGGGATGATCAGATTCTGCAGGGATTGCTGACTCGAGCAAGTCAGGCCACATCTCTGAGCCTCAGTTTCTCCAGGTGAACATTAGCGGGTTTGGATTAGATGATCCCTCAGGATCCATCCAGCTGTAAAACTCTATGACTTCTATGATTCCACATGCGAGGAAACCAATAATATGTCATCAACCCCAGTCCTGCTCTTAAAGAAAGCATGTCTTTTTAATATTGGATTGTTTGAACAGTTGGAGATATTTTTGGACATTCTGTAAAACAAAAAGATATGTTCTGATATTATTTTAAGGCACTCTAAGTCTGCTCTGAATTCTCCTTTTTTGGAGAAGAAATTTTGCCCGTTGGGTTGTGCAGAATCTATTTCATAAGCAACTAAATGGTGTGCCGCTCCCTTTGTGTCCCCCCAAATCAGTCCTTCGCCCAGAGAGGGAATGCTCCCACGTCCATCTCTTTGGGAGGCTTGGGGCCAGAGTATTTTTGAAAAGTGTCTGGCAGCTAATAGTAGCAAAACACGGAACGTGTCTGAGCCCATACATACACAGGACCTAATTCGGAAGCTGAACTCTGCAGGACAGTGGCCCCAAGCTGCCGTGTACCTCCCCACATCTCACAGTCCCAGAGTCTTTTGTAATTTTCAAATCACTTCCACATGCATTATCTCATTCAGCTGTCACAATAACCCGGCGAGGAAGGCATTGTCACCCTCACTTTAGTGATGGAGAGATGGGGGCTCCGTGAGATCCGCAAGGTGACATCCGCAAGGCTAACCTGGTGCACAGTTCAGTGCACGCGGTCACTGCCCCGCGGCTGCAGCGCCCTGCAATGCCTTAGTGTGCTTACGGCATTGGCACATAGGTCTCGGGATTTTCGCTGTTCATCCTGGGGAAGCAGTGCCATTTGTTGGTTTCTGAGCAAAGGCCTGCGCTGCTAGATACATGAGGGTCCTCAAACCTGCCCAATCCGTAGGAAGCTTCCTAAGTAATGGGATAGCATTAAAGTCTGCAAGGCGGGCCCTAGCCAGTTTGGCTCAGTGGATAGAGCGTCGGCCTGTGGACTGAAGGGTCCTGGGTTTGATTCCTGTCAAGGGCACATGCCCGGGTTGTGAGCTCAATCTCCAGTAGTGGGAGTGCAAGAGGCAGCCAATCAGTGATTCTCTCTCATCATTGATGTTTCTCTCTCTCTCTCCCTCTCCCTTCTTCTCTGAAATCAATAAAAATATACTTGTTAAAACAATAATAGTAAAGTCTGCAAGGCAGGAGAATGTCTACTCGCTTGCTGCATTTGGCCTACACATGCCGTATGGGAGGCTGACCTGAATCAACTTCTCTGACCTTCTGAAGTAGCGAGCAATCCACTGTACCTTAGGTGGCTCTTTTTCCATGACACCATGTGAAATACTGTGGAGACGATGAAGAGGGCACAGAGGCCCATGCCATAGATCCATGCTGTTATCTTCTCCCAGCAGTCGTCAGACAGCCGATGGAGGAGGGCGCTGCCCACGATGGCCGGGACAATGAGGAACTGAGGGAAGGGCACAGAAAGTGAATATCCCGGCTCTTACCGAACTGAGACCGTGTTACAAATATGCAGGATTACCAGGGATAACTTTTTTTTTTAATAAGGGAAAGTTTATTTAGAAGAAATGGGCTCAGGAAATAAGTTACAGAGGCAAAAGAAGGGCCCTTGGAGCTTAGGAGAAGGAGAGAGGCGAGGAAACGCGCCCGGGGGACAGGAGTGGGAGAAAGGCACAGGCAAGCTCCATAGAGAGCCACTACCACTCAGAACATACCAGGGTAATTTTAGAAAGGTCGCTTTAGAACAAACACTTGCCTTTCTTGGGTAATCGGAAGGAGAGCTGGATGAAGTAGTCAGTTGTACTGGAAACAGGTATTGCTATTCAGAGCCCAGGAATTGTACACAACTTGACTTCAAACAAATTTTAATCTAATGGCACATGTATGTCGCCTACATATTGTACTAACACTGCATGAAATAAATTACACTCTTCACTAAAGGACTAAGTCGGTCTCCTTTTCTATTGCTTGTCTTCAGACTAAACACCATTTTTCCTCTAAAGCCTCACTAAATGGGACTTTCAAAGGGAATAATGAAACCACAGAAAAGGGGAAATGTATAATGACACAAGAAAAAGGCCAATGTTAGGCCATTAATAGAAAAACTATGAAAATGCATACATATTCACAAACACTACACCTAAAAGGAAGAAATGCACCAATGCATTCATTTATTTCTGGGTAGTTTTATTTTCCTTCTACATTTTTCAGTGTTTTCTAAGTTTCTTATACTGACCATGTTTTGCTTTTATAAGAAAGAAAAAAATTAAGAATTTAGAGATCAAATTAGCTCTTTCTTCAATAAGAAATAACATCTGTGCCCTGGCCAGTGTGGCTCAGTTGGTTGGGTGTCATGCAGTGCACCACAAGGTTGCTGGTTCAATTCCTGGTTGGGGCACATGCCCGGAGTTGCAGGCTTGGTCTCCAGTAAGGGGCATGCAGGAGGCAGCCAATCAATGTTCCACTCTCATATCAATGTTTCTTTCTCTCTCCCTCTCCCTTCCCTTCCCTTCTCTCTAAAAATCAATTTTATATATATATATATATATATTTTTAAGAAATATCATTTGTACTGAGGAGCATAGCCACTGTGGTAACAGGGAAGGTGTGGCTACCAGTTTCAGGGGATCATTTAGAAATAAAAAGCACCTTTATCAACCAAATGCTAAAGGTCCTTGCCAGATGAACACAGCTGACTATCCTGAAAAGGCGATCATTTCATTCCAGGGTGACAGTCTTCACAAGTCGTTTTCTCTGGTTTTCCTATGACTAGGGTGCTTACTATTATTCTTTTTAAAGACCTGATTCTCAGAGGAAGCAAGTCCAGGATGGACAGAGGAGACTGTAGGTCAGAGCACTGGACATGCTCACAGTTTCTGGTGACAGGACCCAGCACGGATACTCTGGTAGATAAGGTCACAGGGATGGGTAAATCCAACTAATGGGGTGGAAAAGTTACTAGAGAGAACTGCCCCTGCCTCCCTGCAAAGCCTTCTGGGAGGATGAAAAGGCAGAAAACGCATACTCACTGCATGTGTGTAACAGTTAGCAGCATGTTCATAACAAGTTGGTTTGTAGCGGCCATTGGCTGGGGCCCGGTGGTTCATGAACCTGTAGAAACAGAAAGACATCATGTGAGAGCAGCTCAAAGCGTGTGAAAAACAGTGGGTAGCCTGCCAATGGTTGTTTGGTCTATTCTAAACAAAGAGGCGGCTGCTGGAAACACCTAGTCACGGGAACAGGACCGAAGCCACAAAGCAGGTGTAAACTGAGCCCGCAGCAATGATCCTAAAGCAAATGGCCAAGTTTATTCTTTCAGGTCATTCAAAAGAAAAACCTACCAACCCAAAGCAAACAGAAACCATATCCACTCCCTTCAATTGGTACCTCTCACACTGAAAAAAAGGCACAACCAAATCTTAACCGTTAACAGAAAGCAAACCAACGGGATTTCTCTAAACTTTACAAAGTCCAGTAATCGCCACTAAATGAAAAGGGACACGATGCATTTGAAAGGTTTCTATTTTTGCTCTCAAAATTTGGAAAGCTTTATACATGTAAATCTTTCAACCCTACATCCCATGATCAGCCGGCCTGTCCAACTAGTTTCTCTCTATTGCCTTATCTGTTCCAGCAGCGGATAATAAATGAATGACACCTGGCTGCCTCTGGGCCACCTAAACAAGAGGTACATCTTCACCTGCACCCTTCCTCAATTAAAGGAGTTTTCTTCAAAATCCAAATGCATGACTCGTAGCGAAAACCCTGGCTCTAAAATTCAAATATACACACAAATATATGTACCTAAGTATCAAAATCTGTGCCACACAGACCCATATCCCATACTTCCCTTGGGGCTAACTTTGTGGCAAGCACCCAGGCAGTGACAAGCATGACCACGGCAGCATTCTTCCATTTCACTGTGTAGATGAGGGTCCCCCAAGCCCCACCCACACCCATGCCCAAGGGGTTCTGGTTTAGTCTGTCTGTCCTCTGGAAAAGGGAGATGTAAACTCAGGAATATAAAGCAGCTGCCTGAACGAGATGCAGAGAAGCAAATGGAGGTCAAAGAACCCGGCAGCCTTCGGGTCTCGGGCCCCACTGCGCTCCTGTGCTCGGAGCCTGCGCAGCATCGGCAGGCTCTGCACAATAAACTATCCTCGTGCTTGAGCTAGTTTGCGGGGAGGGGAGGGTGGACTTGGTTGCTTGCCACTAGGCACTCTGACTAGTCACACCTTATTAAAGAACACACTGAAGAATGGTACCTGGCTGAACCAGAGGGCAGAGCCACGTGGCCAAAAATAGGCTAAAACGCATGGTCAAGCCATTCCAAACAGTGTCTTGTTTATGAACAAATGACTGGCACTTTCTCCCTGAATTAAGAGGGGCCATTGTCCTTGGAGCAACTAAACGAAAATACAGTGGCAGTCCCTAGTGACCCCACAAAGGGAAAATCCACGGGGGAATGAATTTGGGAGCGTGAAGGCCCTCCAAAGGGTTAGCTACCTAACATGGGTGTACATACATACTCATTGAATGGAATTCACCAGATGGCTTGGAAACCGCGTAAGAGAAACACGCAGTTAGCAGCTTCAGAATGGATCCGAGCTATGCGCACACATAAATAAATCTTCTCTCCCCTGATGATCCTTTAAATAATTTTACTAATTTCCTAAGGGACGGGAGTGTTGCTATCCAGCTCTTATTTGTAAAAAGGAAAATAATGACACTCTTGGGACGAACACTTTCTCAGTGTCCCCAGCATTCAAGGATCTGCCACATCATTTCCCTGAGACATAACAACAGAGCTAGACGCCCCACGCCCTGGGAGGATCTGTAAAGGGTAAAGGGCAAGGCTCCAGGATGGATGGCAGAGGCCAGAGTAAAATCGGGAGTGCTCTGTGGAGGGCGCAGTAAGTAGGGTTTGTCCACCCACCAGTAGCCCCACCATAGCTGCAGACTAAAATAGCAATTTATATCTCTGGCAGCCCAATCTAAAAATAGTCAGACCATTACACAGCAACCGGGGTAGACTTTCACATTTTTCTGCTAAAAGCCAAGAAGCTGGGTGGCCATGCTTGTCACAGCTCAGTCCCTGCCCACCTGGGATCACTCCGGTTAAAAATAAACTCAGGAGTTGTGGAAAAAATCCCACCCATGTGACTTCAGGTAGGTGCTGTTACGGACAGAGCCCAAATT